ATCTACGTCCACGGAAGGGAAATATATAGCAGTTATTCTGTAAGGAGCCATCTTCAAATGTGGACGAGCATAAATTATAAACCTTAATAATGTTCTTTTTTTAATAGATCTTGATTTTCTTAACTCTCCTCCCACCAAACGTGATTCATTATACATTTGACATGATATATATTATGCAAAACAACTATTTTATAGGGAAGCAAACTTATAATTTGATCTTCTTTTTTGTACTTTTAAAGTCTAAGTTGAGTCTGTACTGAGAATAAGGGACAAGCACAAGTCCTGAAGGAATGTAACGGTTGGGCTCATGTGGAGATGATAAAAATTTGCATGATCATGCCTCGTATCTTAAATCTTGATCTAATTATTGTATAGATTTGAGATCATGCATGCATATGTGGCGCTTGACTATTATTTTGCTTTTCTAATATATGTTACCAACCTCGCAACACTTGTCTTTGTTTTTTTTTTCTTTTTTGTTTTATTTACACCTTATAGTGTGTTGATTTCATTATTTATTTGTGCTTATGTTTTGTATGGACTCACACTTAGATATAGGTTTTTAAAATAAAATCTTTAATTCAAATATCTTATATTTTAAGAAAATTATCCTAATGAAATTTTGGCTTAAATTTTAAATTAGGAATGTGTTAAAAGTGATTTTGAATTGCATGGTTATTATCCAAGCCATAATTAATAATGCCCCGTTATTAGGGGTTTTAGATAACTTTGCACCATAAGCATGTCTCCTTGAGAAGTATCGTTTCTTCTCCTATTAGACCGACACTACAAGTTTTATTTAATTAGGTTGTCATTTAGTATGCTTAGGATGTTAAGAGGCTTTTCAAACCCAGACGAGTATATATTTCCTTTATGAGGTGGTGTGGCTTTATGAGCCAAATCATCAATTCTTTTCACTATGTAGGTTTTTAGTCATATTATCGGCAAGTATAGACCATATTCTTAACCTTTTCTTTTGGGATAGAGTCATGGGATCTTAGGTATTTCTTTCTTGTGACTTTAAGTTTATTGAAGTACCATGGATAATGCAAC